TTGCCAGGAGGTGGAGACACAGACACAAAGACCCCTGCTATGATCTGAGGGCAGTGGCTGCAGTAGAGGTGAGGAAGGCAGACTTTGCAAAGAAACCTCTATACAAACAGAGGAGCCATGATGTCTGCTGGGAGAGATGCGTGTGAATTGCTCTGCCCAGTTGAGCTGGGCTGTGAGGGTTACATAGGAGTCTTCCAAGAAGAGAGAAGGCAGAGGGGTAGCAGTAGCAGAGGCACGGAGGACAATATGTTGCAGGAGTGTTAGTCCTGAGTCACACCCCATAGCTAGAGGATGCTGAAGCAGGGTGAAACCCCAGGAGGGAATGGCTGGAGGAGGAAGGAGTGAGCTAAGCACGCCAAGGGCACCACTTGGCTAGAGCTCCCCCCACCCCTCACACCTAGGGAGGCTTCTGCTTGCTCTTCTGTAAGTGGAAGTCATGCCAGCTCCCAGCCCCTGGGATGGAGAGGATGGGAGGAGGTGAGCCTGTAATATTCTCACCGAGCTCTGGCCACACAGGAAGTGCTAGGCAAGGATTGGTGATTCTCTCTTTGTTGTGTGTTTTCAGGTGTAACTAAAACGCCAGCTCTTCAACTCAACTCTGCCCGACACCCTGAGCCCACAGTCCGTCCTTTGTCCTTTCCTGGAACCTCATAAACCTCTCGTTGGCACTTGTCCCACAGCCTTCTGGATGACCATGTGTTCTGCTACTCTGAATGACCCATGCTGCCTGCACCTCCCTCCGCAGTGTAGACACAGCCCTCTGGGCCTGGTGGGAATTCACTAGATGGTGGATAGTGGGTGAATGGATGGGTGATACTTGTCATTAAACAGTGGGCAGTGAATTTCCCTTCTCTTGGTTATGTTTTCTATGAAATTAACATAGCTATTGCAGTTTTCATTAATAGCATGGTATGTATTTCTCCATTCTGTCACTTCTAGCTTACCAGAATCTTTATATTTAAAGTGAATTTCTTAATAGACAAAAGATTGATAGTGTGCCTTATTGTTTAATTGACTCTGTTACAGCCAAGTGCTACAGCTCAGCTTTACAGCCAAGTGTTAAGGCTATCTGATGGTCTTTGGCAGTGAAGAAGTGGAGCAGCACTTGGAGAGATGGAGGGAGTCTTATGATTCCAGCAGACTCAGAGGAGTTCATACTCCAAAGTCGGAGCCCCAAATAGCAGCGAAAGCAGCCTTATATAGAGATCTTCAGAGAAGGGGTTGGGCCCACCTACCAGGAGAGCATGCTCATTGAGGTGGATGGGTGGAGTTAAGAGAACATTCTTGAAACTTCAGGTGCAGCACAGTTACATTGCTTGAGCAACCCATTTTGATGCATTGGGCAGGAACATCGTGCAGTACAAACAGTTACATTGCTTAAACAAAACAGCCTGTGACAAAAATATGGGGTGAAGGAGCTTGGCAACAGACAAAGGCCTGCCTGTTTTGCATTATTTCTTTATCACCTCCAATAATATCTTTTAATGGGTATATTCATATTATGTTAAATAAATGAACATGTAACTGAAATGATCTTCTAATAGCCACATATTTTAAGTGGCATCATCAAGAAAACAAAACCACCAAAGTCCTACTTTACTTTCTTGTATTTGCCTTGCCTTCTTGGACTTGCCTATTTCTGGGTCTCCTCCTGCAGTCCCTCGTAGTAAAGCTCACAAGGGCTCCTGACAAGACTCTTCTCATCCCAACTAGCATTTCTCACAGACAGTTCTGGAAGGCCAGAAGGTGTGGACATTCTGCAAACAGCCTCAGTTCGAAGGGCTGCCTTCTTTAGGGGAGGAGCCAGCAGCAGTGTGTCCTCCAGATAGAAATCTCTTCAGAATTGTGTGGGGCAGAGGTAGGAGGCTGCAGGTGCCTGGAGAAGCATCTCCCTCTCCCAGCTTTCCTGCCAGAGGCTGGAGTGAGCAGTGCACAATCAGTGTCCCCCTGTCCCAGGGTAACAAAACATGGAAAATTCCCTGTTGGCAGATGTTGCCTTACCTGACATCAACACGACTTTCCCTGAATGCTAAAAAGTAAGATAAATAGAAATACGAATTTAAAAGGAATTTCCTACTACAATAGGTTTGAGACATGCTCAGGGCTCACTGTCTGCTTCTGAGACATCTCCTCGCCTATCACAAGGGCAGGTCACAGCTAGTGAGGCAAGGGGGCCTCTTCACTCCTCCACCTCTTCCTGTCCCGGAAACAAACTCCCACTTACCCAACTGGGAGAAGAGGCCCCTGGAATCTGACTTTAAAGTAAGGCAAAGCTGGGGATCCACCGATCTGTGGGTTGGTTCCAAGTCCTCTGTCAAATAGTGGGCCTTTAGAACAGAGGAAGACCCTGGAGATAACGCTGTCAACTTTCTTTTCAGGCATAAGGAGCTGTGTCTCTGCCAATAGCCCTACAGCTAGGGCAATTTAAAGCCGAGAGCCAAGTCCAGGAGCCCCTGAGAAACTACTTTTATTTCTATTTAGTATAAGTCCTAGCTGAAATGGAGCAGGGATGAGCAGAAGGAGGAATTAGAGGCCCGGGACACACAGAGGGTCACTACAGTGACCACAGAACTCGACCCCAATTCAACTCTTGTCTTGACTGACTCAACCTCTCCTGGAGAAGGCACCTGCTCATTTCTTCATAAACACCAGGGAGTATCCCAGGGATGCCTGGACCACAGGCGCAGCAAAACGAGGCTGAGATTGGTAGTGTGCGTGGGCAGAGAAGGTTGGGATGGGGTGAGAAGACCCTCACGACTCCACTGCCCGCTGGACTCTCTGCCTCATTAGTGAGGGCCCCTCTTACCCAGGACCAGCTCAGTTGGCTGCCTATTTAGTTGGCCCTTGAACACATTTTATGAGTCGCATGAAAACCAAGAACCACTGGGTGACTGTTGACAAGGGACAACAGAGCCAAACACATGTAGGTATGCAGTGAACTTGAGCCAACACCCTCAATACCAAAGAAACAGCTCATTTGTCAAGAGGGTGGAAGGAGCTCGCTCAGCCTCCAGAGAGCTCGCTGAAGCAGCCATATCATAATGAGAAGGGGTCTCTGTGAACTGGAGCTTCCAATCAGTCTGAAGAAAGTGACACCTTGGTGGGTGGAGCCAAGAAGGAAGTAGTCACTGCCCAGAATATGCCACCAAGGAGGGTGAGGTGCTATGAGCCATCTTCCAGCTGAAACACATAAAGGCCCAGGCTCGGAGTCAGCAGGTGTAAGGATGTTGGAAGTGAGGAGTGGTCCAGGAGGGAAATCAAAGCTCTCTGTGTTGAACATTTTCCAGCTGGTTCCATTCTGTCTGTTCCCACTCTCCACACATGGAGAAGCCAGCAGCCTGGCTTTCATTGAAGGCAAAATCTGGGAAGAGCTGGTCTGCATTATGTGGGAGCTGGCAGCTCAGAGGTATCTCCTTCCCCTTCCGGTACTGGGACTCCAGGCTGCCGACTGGCCCTTCTCCTTCCTACAAGTAAAGCTCCCCAGCTCAATATGAAGGGTTCCACTAAAAAAGGAGGCTCACTAAAGACCACTTCATGGCTGGAGACACAAGTCCTCTTTGGGACATGCAAGTGCCCTCAATGTCACACTTGGGAGTGCATGTCACACAGTGACAGTGGATGTTGACATACTCCCAGTAGTGTGTGTGATACAACCACATTAATTTTACCAAATGGTACCAGCAGGCTATGGGGAAGCCAGGAAATTCAATTCCACTGTGTCTCAAATTTTATGATTTAAATATCATTAGAGAAGTTTAACTTCAAATTTCATTCCAAGACATGCCTGACAGATGACCTGTTCTCATTAAAAAGGAACAAAACACCATCCCTAAATTGCTGAACATGATACATACATCAGCAGAAATGACATCAGTCATTTAGCATGACACTTCTATGTAACCATTAGCCCAAAACTCAGTGGCTTTAGTGTCCAAGAGTCCTGATCATTCATGAGTTGATGCACCCGATGGATAGTTCTTCTGGTCTTGGCTAAGGTCACCTGCATGTGGAGGTAGGTGTGGGTCACTTCTGCTCGCATGGGCAGACCTCAGTATTGACTGGCCATAGGCTGGCCTTGGAGGGGTTTGCCAAGACAAAGGGCACCCCTTTGTGTACCTCTCAATCTCCCGCACTGGGCTGTCACAGACTTGTTCAGCAGTTGGTAGTCTGGCTTCAAGAGAGTGAGCAAATGTGGCCAAGGCCCCTGAGTCCTAGGCTGGGAACTAGGACATGGAGATGTCCATCCACTCTATTGATGTTGAATAAGTTCCACTCCAGCCCCGAGCCAAGGTTGTGTGGTGGGAGAAGCTGAAAGCCACAGTGAAGGGCGTGGCTGCAGGAGTGGGGAGCACTGGGGCCATGGCTGCAGCACGCACTTCTCAGTGCCATCATCTGGATGGGTCTGCTGGGTCCACCATGACAGAACACTGCAGGACGGGTGACGTAAGCAAGAGGACCATATGTTCTCACCCTTCTGGAAGCTGGAAGCCCAGGATCCAGGCAGCAGCTGGCAGGAGGGGTCTTTCTGAGTCCTCTTCCTTGACATACCCAAGGCTGTCTTCTTCACATGGTCTCCCTCCCGTTTATCTGTGCCTTAACCTTTTCTCATAAGGACACCAGTCACCTAGGGCTCGGCCCATGTGTGTGACTTCATTTTGCCTTAATTACCTAAGACTTCAAAATATGAATTTGGGGGACACAATTCAGCCCATAACAGCCTTCAATCGAAACTGTCAAGGAGAAACATGATGAGAGTCTGAAGGCAGAGAGAAGAGGAAAGAAATAGCCAGCTGTGCGCCATCCCTGTCAGCACTTCTAGTGGCCTGCGGCCACACCCTCCCGAGGTACTCAGCCAGCTCTTCACTGGCAGCAGGGAAAAGCTGAGTCTCTCCAGTTCTTAGGCTCCATATCTAGAGGTAAATGGCCCGGAGATTTTTCTGAGGGCATTCCTTATTCTTCGTTTGATGGCATGAGCACCAAGAAGACAGGAGCCGAGAAACATTACCATTTTTGGAACAAAGTGACAAAGGAAAACAGAAAGAGACAGAAGGTAATAATATCCCATTTTTACTCCAGAAAGAAGCCAGTGAGATTCCAACTTCCAGCTTTGGTCCGGCACTGTCTCTTCCAGGAACCGAAGACTCAGGCCCATCAGCAGCAATGAAAATGAGGGTAGAGAGGATTCTGGGAAAACAGGCAGGTCAGTGGTTACTATGGAGACTGCTGGAGAGGGTCTCTTCCAAGGAACCTCTTGTGGGAAAACAGTGGGGTCTTGACAGAGGCACCTCCCTCAGGAGGGACTTAGGTCGCTTTGCAGGTGCAGGCCATGCTCAAGATGTCAGGCGAAGTGGAGGGGGCAGGGACAAAAGGCTACGGAATGTGTATTCCAGCAGACCTCTCCCTGCACTGCTGGCCTGGCCACCTGCTGCATGGTTACTAGGAGACATCCCACCAGAGGAACACAGCTGCCTGGGTCAAGGGACAGAGGACTAGACTTTAGGGAGAGGGTGGTGAAGTATCTGCCAGCTGTGTGAACATCAGCCTGGGCAACAGTTGGGAACCCTGGGAGGGGTCCTGGGTCTGCCCTCTGCTACCTTCGTGATCGAGGTACCTTCTCTTTCTGGTTCTCAGCTCTCTAAACAAATGAGAATCGTTCACTGCACGTCCTCTCCATTAAATCAGTGGAAAGATGTGAGAGCATTTTGCTGTTTCTGAAAGGACAAGGAAGAAAGCGCTTGGGCCGTGGGGTCAGAGAGACCTGCAGCTTCAGCCCCTCAGGAGCTGGGCGATCCCGGGTCAAGTCACTCTGCCTCGCTTCCGTCATGCCTCACTGGTTTAATAGACGTGTAGTGGAGACTCAAGTGAGAGTCAGGCGCCACGGCAGAAGTGAGTTTGCCCTCCCAGAACCTTTCCATCTGCTCAAAGCAGAGAATGGATCGCCTGCTCTACAGGGTTGCTATGCAAGAATTAAATAAGATTAAATGTTTGGAATGCTTACTCGAGTGGTGGTGTATAAGGGATCCTCAGTAAGAGTTAGTTCCTCAACCGAAAACAAAATGATCATCGTCCACATGGAAAATTTCTTTTAGTCAAGACCTTTCAAGAAAAAAATGATGATGAGAAAAAGGTCATTTATTTTTCACAAATTAAAAATTGGTTTGGGCTTAACATTCAGCTGTGGCAGGTAGACTAGAGAATAAATGAATTTGAAGGTTTCTTTTTTTTGGTACTGGAGATCGAACTCGGGACCTCGCACTTGTGAGCCAGGCGGTGGAACCACTGAGCTAAATCCCCGGCCCTGGAAGTTTCTTTTTATCAAGGTCAAAATAAGCCTCTCAAAGTAATTCCACTTGGGCATTGAAGGGGCAGCTAGATGCCACATATGGGTCATCCAAGCAAGGACCTGCCCTTCCTTAGTTTTATTTTCCTTCTCTGTTCTCTTAGCACGCACAGGCATAGGTATTTGTGTGCTGCACACTGTACATGCCTACAGCTGCGCACACACACACACACACACACACACGCACACAGAAGCACACAGAAGCACATTTCCTGGGAGGCTAGCAGGGCCTCTTTATAAAAATAAGATGAAAAAAAAAATTAAAAGAAAGAAAGAAAGAAAGAAAGAAAGATCAGATGCATTTTCAGAAACAGTCTTCATTTCTGCTACTCCAGTAAATGTTTATTGAAAGAAGAAATAGAAGAATGAACAAGCTAGCTGTTCCTGGGCCAAGCACTACATAAAAGGGGACCTCACTCAAATCAATTTGGGGACGTGGCTTTCGGCCAGCCTTACAGGGAATTCACAGTGCACAGGAGCAGAGAGGGGCTGAGGGCTTTCTGAGAGACAGCAGTTAGCTTTGTTACCTAGAGAAGCCTGGACTGACTTGGCCAAGGACAGCTGGGGTTCTGTGTTCTCATTTGCTTATCAGTGCTATCACACCCACTAATCCCACAGGGCCCATCCTTCGGGAAGAGCGCACTAGCGCGTGAGTTAGTGGCAGACCCACTCCAGGGTTCAGCGGAGACTGCAATCCCCCGTGTTCCTGTGTCTCTGAGGTAAGCTGTCCTGCCTCTCTGCAGGTCACCGGGCCACCTCCAGCCAGGCCAGCAGAACACCAGGGCGGTATAGAAAGACAAAGGACATCTCAGTAAGCTGGACCAGGGATCCGGAGGGGCAGGGTCTTCCAGTCTCCCATCCCTGTTCTTCTGACCTCACCCCCTTCCTCCTGTGCCTGTTCTCCATCCCCCTTCCTGCTCTGGATCACAGAGCAGGTCTCCCACCACCCACCACCAAGCCTCCCTCTACCCTTTGGTGCCAGAGTCACGGCCAGCCTGGCCCAGTCATCCCTGGACGTGGGGTAGGGCCACACCTTAGAAAGTGACTTCCCAGCCTCTTTGTCCCTCGGGGACAGGGACAGCTAGGTTCTGGGCAGTCACTCTACATAGAGCCCTGATGACCTCTTATATGTTTGGCCCGCTTGTGCCTCTCAACTCTTACTATGTCTTAGAGTCCAGGAAATGTCAGGAAGCATTTTCAATATCTGCCTTGGCCACCCCAGCAGCTAGAGACAGAAATCCGTATGTTACAAAGTCCCCTGGCTTTGCCTGTGACTGCTCTATGGTGATCCGGGTATTGTTATGCCCTGACTATTCCAAGCCCTTGGGAGTGCTACATCTTAGTCTCTTCACTCTTAGCCATTCTTTGCCTAGGGAATATTTCCCACCTCCCCAGGCCCAGTTTAAATGCTACCACCTCCATGATATTTCCCTGATTCTACCTACCAGATGAAAGCCTTGAGTTATTCCTTTATTCTTCCACTGAATTTTGCTGTAAGCAGTTCAAAATTCATCTTTCTATAACCTGCAGAAAGCAAAAGAGTAGCTTTTTTAAAAAAATGTTTTCTTATTAGAAAAGTTATATATGCTTATGCATATATATTGATATTTGGAAAATATCAGTCACTAAGAAAAGAAGGAAATCCTAATTTCTCTAAATCATAAATAGCCTTGTCAAGCAGGGCAGGTTCCCTCTAATCTTTTTTCCAATGGGTCATGTGTGCATTTTTTTCATAATTGAAGTCATATATAATTTTCTACCCTACTTGCCTTCAGTCGAGATTATATTGAAAACATGTTTCTATGCTATTGTTTCTTCACAAGTCTGCCATTGAATGGCTGTGTAACATCTCATTGGAAAACATACCATTCTTTCTTGGCTCATTTCCCAATGTCTGGACATCGGTATTATCTTCCAGTTTTATTTTTGCTTTTAACAACAATGAAGTGTGCTGGATAGTTCTCGTTTGTCTCTCTCGAGCCACCGTCTACGCGGCCCATCTGGATGGTGTCAGAGGGCCCTGGCCTCTGGTTTTGGTTGGACTCAGAACAGAACATGCTGGCAAGACCATTCAGGGACAAGGTTAGGGTGGGGAATCTCCCCCAGGCTGGCCCTGAAGGCACCAAGGAGACAGGAAGCCCTGTCCCCGCATCCTCTCCCTGCCTGCCAGGCTGTGAGGTGAGACTGGCAGCCTTCTCTCTCTCTCTCTCTCCCCCCACCCCCTTCTCTCTCTCCTTGTCCTGAGCCCTGCATGATTTCAGCACCCTCTCCAAGCCCCAACCACACTCCCTAAGTCATCTTGGCTTGTGCTGATGTGACTGTCCTCAGATTACTGTGAGGCTGCAGTTCCCTGATAGGATCCTGACAGGCCCACATTGCAGTTGGCATTCTGTACCTAAATCTTTGACTCTGCTCAATTTCCCTCTAGATATTCCACATAAATGATTAACAGTGGATCAACAGACTAAAAACAAAGCATGTTTACAGCACTTCATTTATACTGCCTTGTTGCTTGACAAAATTCCGTTATGCTTCCTGTCGGTAGTGCCTGAGAACATGAAAAGGTATCATTTTGAGTCTTGGAAATGATGGTAAGCCAGAAGTATTGCGTGTTTTAATTTTGACTCCATTGATTACTAATAAGTATGGACACTGTTGACATATGTATTTTAATTCCTCTTTTATGACTGACCACACCTAATGTCACCATCTCTCCCTTATAATGTCTACCTATTTACACTGATAATCTTAAAATTGTAGGTAGTATTATCATTATTACTGACTTGGGCAGCAACAAGGATGAGTGAATTCTTAGACAAGCCAGAGACTAAGTATCAACTAGAAAGCAGAAAACATTAATGTGTCTGTTAGGAGAATACTTAGGGACCTAAGTGTGTTCTTAGGCAATGGAATTAAATGGATTGAGTATCTTTTTTGAAATGCTTGAGAACTGAAATGTTTCCAATTTCAGATTTTTCTTTTGGATTTTGGAGTAGTTGCAGATACATAATGAAATATTTTGGGGCGGGAACCCAAGTCTAAATATAAAATTCATTTATGTTTATACACAGCCCCTGGGGTTAACATTGGACAGTACATTTAGCCCACCTGTGTCCTGGCTGTTACTGTCACCTGAGATCAGTGTGGGATTTTCATGTTGATGCTCAGAAATATTTGCACTTTGCAGCATTTCAGGTTTTGAAACTAGGGGTACTCAATCCAAAACTGTATTATTAAAACAGTAATCAATGCTTATGAATTTCTATCATTTGCCAGGTATGGTGTTAAGTGATTTGCACATGCTACTTAAACCAATGTGCTTGATTGATCCCTATGTCCAATAAACACTGAGCCATTTCTGAAACCTAACCCTACCCCAAGTATTGTAAGCATAAGAAACCCAGTCTTTCTCTCCAAAATAGATTTATCCAGAGACATGATCTCCAACTGAATCTTACTTTACTGATGCTGTAACATCTCTGACATTTGGTTCCAAAATTAAGCAAAAATGGAAAAGTTGAAATTCCACCAGGCAGACAAACTGTTCCTGCATATTCCCAATTCACTTTTATAAACACTGGGGGCTTGGAAGGTTATTGGATGTTATAAACAACCCAGTAACAGTGGAGCCTTTTGCTGTGTGGAGCAAAGTGTTTGAGATTCATCTGTTAGAGAAAAAGAGATTTTAGAAAACAACCACATGAAAGTCTCTTAATAAGTTCTGTTTTAGAGTAAAAGGAAGAATTTCCAGGGCAAAGTGTGGCCAGTTTTGAGGTCTAGCAGCAAGTGTGTCCTGAGATAAGCATGCTGCTCAAGGAGCCCACAGCCACATGAAAACTTGCCCTTCTGAATTCTCCCCCACCCCAATCTTAACCTTTGTATTTTCCAGCCTTACAACATCAGTCTCACTTTCCCCGTTTTATTACCCCTTCTCTCTCCACTCGGAGACTTGTAGCGAGAAGACAGGCAGCTCTCTCCGGGGTGGAATCCGGCAGTGGGAAAAGCAGTATTTTTTGAAGAAGAACCAAATGCTATTTCTGAGCTCTGTGGCTTTGCAGAGAATTTTATTTTTGTGAGAGGCTGTGTTTTATGTATTATAGTTTTAGATTTCTGCTTGTTGCAGCGTACAGCCAAGCCTCTGTTTTAAATTCATATTAGTTTGGCTGGTAATGATGAGTCTGGAAGATGAAACCAGACTCAGGAGCAGTTCTCCCTTCCATCCCTGTTAAAATTACCCCTGTTTGTTTTCAGGAAGAGCTAGATTTTTAAAAATAAAATGGAGAGGAAAGCAGTGGCCCAATGCCCCAGTGCCAGCTGACAGCAGCAGCGTCACTGGGTGTGGTCATCCAGATGTTAGCTCCCCCAGGTGTGTGGCCTTCCACAGCCTCACCTGTGCTGTGAGACACCAATATGTGAAGTCAGGCTGCCCACCTTCAGGTCACACTGCAAAATAAGACTCTGGATCTTTGGTGCTGGATGTCCTGAGCTCAGCTCTATCAGGTCTGCAGATCATTCAGGCTTTGGGCTCCCAGAGGAAGAGGGATCCACTTGTCCAAGGAAACATCTGCAGTACATGTTAAGTGGCCTATGAGAGAGCCCTCTCACTTGTTGGCTGAAACACAAAACGGAAAACATGTTTGGGGAGTACAGCCCCCGCCCCCAGCTCTGCTCCTTCCCAGGAAATGGAGTGAGGGGGGATAGCACCGACACGTGAACCAGGCGGCCCACATGCCTGCATGTTTCACAGTGTGAAAAGCATCTGCTGGGTGGAAATCCCAGGCATGGGGATCGGAATCTGCAGAGACCGACTTCCAGTCTCTCGCAGGGATTCCATTCCCACTGCTGTGGGGACAGACTTTTCCACCAAGCAAGGAGCAAGTCACCCCCATTCACTCTGTGTTTCTGTCCGCAGTGGGTGCACATTTACCAAATGCCAATGTCTGTGTGTATCAGGGGCTGAGGCGCAAGGATAAGCAGGCAAGGCTCTGCCTTCAAGGAAGAGAAAGAGCGGAAGGCACACAAGGAGCTGGGGAGGTTGGAGATCCATAAACAGAGTACTGGGCCCTTGCTGCTTTGGGCCAACTAAAATCCGTTGTGTTTTCCTCTTGATAAATTATTTCCATTTTTATCTCTTTACATCCAGATGACTGTGTCCCCAGCCCAGGGCTGTGGCCTGATTCAACGAAGTCAACCATCACATCTCAAGTCCCTCCAATCAGAGCCATGGGTCAGGGTGAGTAGCTCAACTCAAGTCACTGTGACTCAGCCAGAGTTGCTGAGGCTTAAAGGACAGAGAGGCAATTGCTCCCTTGAGAGAACTACTGAGGATGCCCTCCTTCCTGCTGGGTGGCTATGTTCCCCAGGAAATCTGTTTCACAGAGAGAGGAGCCTTGGAGAAGACACCACAGGCAGCTCGGCACGCTTGTCTGAAGCCCGTAGCCCCACCTAGGACCTCTTCTGCTCAGTGAACTGATAAACCTTCATTATTACTTCGACCACTGTGGGCAGAAATTTCCAGTATTTGCACCAAAGATGGAAGAATTTCACTAATAACAATAGCTAGTGGCTGTTGAACACTTTACCCTGTGCCAGGCACTCTGCTAAACACTTTAGATGTTTGACTATGTCTAATCCTCTCAACCTTGGAGACAGATTATTTCTAACCCCATTTATAGATTAGAGAGTCTAGGTTTAGAAAAGTTAAATAACTTATCCAAGGGCACATAGAATAAACTTGAATGTCCTTAGGAGGTTAGGTCAAGTGGAGATAAAAAACTGTCCACTGGATTGAGCAACATGCTATGCACCAAGATGTTTAGAGGAAACATCTTCACAGGCTGCACTGAGATGGACCAAGGTGAATGGAGGCAGGTTGAGGGTAGGCAAGCACCAAGGGAGTAGAAACACATGTGTGGCAACATTTTGAAGAAGTTCAGCACACATCTGGTCCTCTAGATCAGCCAGAATGCTTTGGGTTGTACATCATAAAACATCATATTTTGGATGTTCTTAAACAATTTTTTTTTCACATAGCAGGAAGCCTAGAGATATGGAAGACTGAAACATTGATCAGTGGCTCAACAGTGTCATTAGGGACCAGGTTCTTCTACAGTCTTGTTCTGGTCTTTGATACACCGCTGTTTCACTGTGAGACATTTAGATGCAGGTTTCTTAATGTGTATACAGCTTGGTTTGGATGTATTGAATTTACTTCATCTATAGCTTTATGTCTTTCATAAATTCTGGAAAATTATTACTCAATATTCTGAGAATCATAGAAAATGCTTGTGCATTATGAGATAGTAGAGCATTTTTATGACTAAATCTAGCCTACCAGGGCTTTAATTCTATACTTGAAAAATAGTTATTATGAAAGGAAGATAAACTCAAGTTTGACTCTTAGCCTAATTTCATCATCTACATCATAGAACATATCAGCATAGCCCCTGCCTTATAGGATAGTGATGACCCAGTCTGATAGTATCTGACATACCCAGTAGGGACCACGCCAGTATGGTACAACAACCTATTGTACTGGCTGTGGACTCTCTGTCCACAAACCATACATCCTGTAAAGTGACGGAACCAACAGGGTCAGAAATCACCTGCACTGACTCTACTTTCTACTGTAATCACCAGTTGTCCTTGATGGCTGTTGCCCCCATTAGCGTTCAAGAGTGTTCATGATCCATCAGATGGGCAAAGGCACTCTTGAATGAGAGACTTCATTATTTTCTTGTTTATAAAAGAGACATGAAAGTCACATCTATTTTAAATTGGATTTTGTTTTTTTTTGGTACCGGGGATCGAACTTGGGTCCTTGTGCTTTCGCAGCAGGCAGCAAAACCACTGAGCTAAATCCCCGCCCCATATTTTAAATTGGATTTTGCTATGAATGAGATGATAAGATGCATTCTAAGCAGAATGCCTTGAAAATTCCCCTTGTCTGTAGGCGCCTGTAGCATGTCCTATCCCTCTCCATTACCTACTTCCATTTCATTCACCAACTAAGTCTTGAATCCATTTGGTTTCCTAAATACACATCTTTTTCACCTGGATTAACACAGTGGCATCTCTTATAATTTAGATCTGGGGAGTCCCCTAAATCTTTCATGTCTTCAGATCAATGCAATTGGACAAGAGATACTTAGTAACATCCCAAAGACCATGTCTCGTGAAAATGTATATGAGGACCCTCGGTCCATCCCACGGCTTCGTGTTCATGGTAGGAAAGGTACGTTCTGAGTCAGAGGTGAAAAACGTACAATGTGAGGATTTCATCTCCTTCCTGAGCTGGTGGAAGGCATGGCTAATGTATTGCAGCATTCTTTCCTCCTGAGTTCCGACAAGGACTCTGAGTTTTTCCTTAGTGTTTCAGTTTCCATGGCAAATTAATTAATTAACATATTAACTGAAAATTACTTCTGAACCTGTTGGGTTTAAACATGAAGCGTCTTCCAAAGACCTAAGTATCGACGAAGGCTTGGGTTTCAGTGCAGCAAAGTCCAGAGAAATAGGGCTGGGGAGGGGATGGGATCTGGGTTAATCCACGAATCAACTGATGGTGGACTGTATTGTTAGGGGTGGAGCCCCGCTGGAGGAAGTGGGTCACTGGGGGCGTGGCCTTGGGGACTGCATCTTTCCCGGCTCTTTCCTCCAGGCTCTTCTCTCTGCTTCCTGGCTACTTGGAGGTAGAAAGTAACGACATTAAAAATACATAACAAAATCATATAATTCTGTCGCTCATTATGAACACAATAAAATACTTTTCTAAGTTAGGGGGGACATCAGACTCAGGGACTACAAGATCTCTCCAAAGCTAAAATTCTAAACCTTTGTTGCGTGATCTTTCTGGCTATTAAATTTCTCTCTGTTGAGGAGTAAGAACCGGAAAGGCGCCTCAAAACAGCATATGTGAGGAACAGCTTTGATCGTAGTATCATTTCCACTCCGGACTCAGGCAGGCGTGCTCTGTTTCACGCTCCGTCCTAGGTCGGAGCAGCCACGGGGACCGGAAGCTGCAGTTCAGCCCTAGCACGAAGTGGTCCAGTCTAGGGGTGTGCACAGTTTTCTTCCTAATCCACTTGGGTCCACTTTGGGTTTGGCAGCCCATGCTCTGTGCAACCTTGGGGGAATTCGGAGACCGGTTAGCTCCTTACTTCCTGACCATGTGAGGAAGTACAAAGTCTGGCAGGGCTGGACGTGATGGCTTCCCTGAGGAATGTTGGGAAACTCCCTAGCACTTTGTGGGGCCCTGATATGCTGAAGGAGGGGGGTCAGACTCCACCCGAGAGCAAGTAGACTTCTGCCACTGAGCCAGGAGTGCAAACGGTGGGAAGGAAGGGGTGGCCTACACTGAGTGCACTTTTCACAACAGCGTTGGAACAGATGTGGCCCTGGCTCCCAGAAAAGGAGGGTCATCCCAGTACACTCATGCTCAGGACTTGCCTGGCCTGCTCAGCAGAGACCACTGGCCTGTGGGTGTGATGTCAAGAGCCAAACCCCAAGTGCGCTGAGCCCTCTCCAGTGGGAAACGTGCTGTGCTGCTCACTCCGGGGCCACCTCCCACCCCAGAGGCAGAGGGCAGGCTCGACTGTTTCCTGTTTCTTTTCCTGTGGGTGTCAGTGTGAGCGACGCATGCTCCTGACATTGTACAGGCACCACCAAATCTGCCATTCGCTGGAAATCTTGGATGCTTAGAAGACACCTCCACTGTCACCCACCAGGTGCTTGACACCTTCCTGTCACCTCAGCAAAGCCACTTGCCTCCCACCTTAACACCTCCAGTGCAGGAACCGGGCTCCCTGGCTTGGCTGCCAGGCTCCATTTTCTTTATGTCTCTTGGAAATGCCTTCCTTGTCATGAACAGAAACCCATCTCATTGGAGCTCTTTTCTTTCTGGTCTTCAGTAGAATGACTTAATACCTGAGAAAAACAACTTAAAGGAGGAAAGGTTTATTTTGCCTCACAGTGTCAGAAGTTTCGGTCTGTGGTCAGCTGGCTTCATTGCTTTCAAGCTTGTGGTGAGCTGAATATCAAAGCAGAAGGACACGGGGACAGAAAGCTGCCCACTTCATGGAAGCCAGGAAGCCAAGGGAGGGAGGGAAGGAAGGCGGGGGAGTGCAGATGCAGTACCCAAGGACACACCCCTGCAGTCCACTCCCTTTCCGTCACCTCCCAGTGATGCCATCAAATTATGATCTCATCTGTGGATTGATCCACGGGGAAACTGGAGCCTTCAGGGTCCAGCCACTCCCTGAAGTCCCATCAGCAATCAAGCCTTCAACATGACAACCCTCGGAGGAGGCATTTAAGTAGCAGCCATGGCAGTACCGTGTGCAAAGTGCTTGCCTTAGTGGCCAAGGTACTTGACAAATGTAGGTTATGAAGACCACATCACGGCGATGACAGGAATGATGTCAGAAACAATAACAATACAGCTAGAAACAGAAGACAAAAAATTCACAAGTTTCGTCGCACACAAACACTGAAAGACTGATTACCATCACGTCCAAGTTCACAGCTCACATGTGACCCTATGACTTTGAATGGTCTTTCTTCACATTCCTTAGTCTCGAGTATAAAATGAAGACCCTGAATCTTGTGATAAATTCAGATTCCATCCAACCTTAGTGCTCCATAAACCCCAATTTACTCACACATGGCTCAAAAACATACCATTCCAGCAACTGACCACACTGCTGGCTTTCATCTAGACTGTTCCAAATGCTGGCACTCACCTTGATATGAGGCCTCAAGCTCGAACACGTCCCTCTAGCCAAGATCTGAAAGTACAGTAACATACAGAAACATACAGTAAAAGAAATGACATGGGAATTCAAATGGAAAAGAGTGGAGCTATCACTTCTGCCCTTCTAGTCTGTGCATGGGGAACCTCAGACCAGGCTCACGTCCCCAGCAAGTGAGATAAGGCAGATAGAAGTTGGACAGAGAGGGAGGGAAAGGACTGCAGGGTAAGACCACCAGGGAGGGAGGCAGGGCCGTGGAGGAGGAGGAGGCCGAGAAGCTGCCTGTTTTGCAGGCAACAGCTTCTGCTGCTCCAAGGGGGTCAGCAGAGATTGCAATGAGAAAACATCTTGGCCAAGGCCGAAATTCACTGTCCAAAACTGGGCTGGGTTTTTGCACCGGGAGAATTTTGGCGTTTTTCATGCTATTCCCAAGCCCCATTCCCCCGCTTCAGGGTGTCAATCAAGGTTTGCTACATAAAGGTCC